ATCACACGCACCAGTTTTGTCTTTGACATTTCCCTTAGCCGCCTCTCTCACTGTTCAGGTTTGGTTCTTTCACTATAAATTCAGGTGCTTTTCTTGTTTCCTGATATCTGATGCTAAGCCACTTGTGTAATTTATTATTTTGTTTGGATTTTCTTTGAAGCTGTCTTGCTGTTTGTGTAGAGCTACCAAATGTTTGGATTTTTTAGTGTGAGCTTGTGATTTTGTGAGTTGGGTCTCAAGCAATTCAGTAAAAGTCTGGAAATTTTGGTGCTTGGAGATCGTGGGATTGCTTTTTGGGCAACTTTACCAGCTGGGTTTTAATTTGTTTCCCAATTGTGAACTGGGTACTGATACTGAAGGCTTTTGATTGAATTTTTGTGGACCCATCAAGCTATATGGTAGAGCTTTGTCTATTAAAGGTTTCAACTAGTACGTCATGAATTGAAGCTCGAATTGATCATTTCAGTGATTGTTACATAATAAACTTATATATTTGGAGCAATTTGAAGTCGTAATATACAAGTAACATTACTGGCCAAAAAGAAAGTATCGTTATCTCCGCTCAGCTCCTTTCTTGGCCAGGATTCTCTCTTTCGTCAATCTCGTGAACTGGGTTCTGTAGATGAATTTGAAAGTGACGGTCGAACACTAATTTGCATATCCAGTGCGATCGGAACGGTTGAACTTGAAACTAGTGAGCTACTTGAGGGCGGCGAGACGAATACAAGAGTACAGAGATGTTTCATCATCTTTTCATTCAGAAAATGGAAATTGAGCACATTATCCCGTTAAGAACGGCCATCACTATGTTGAGTCTGTTGCTTCTGGTGAAATTGCCAGCAATCTCTTCCTCTGAGTTTGTTATACAGTCAAAGGTTTGCAGTGATCACATTGCCTATTCAAAATCTTATGGTCTTGAACTGTATTACATAAATGGGAATTCAGTAGAGAAAGCTTTATTCTGTACGGCACTTGAGACATACTACGCAAATGGTTGCATTTTGGAGGGCTACCTTGGCATTAACCATTGTGTATCAGACCTTTCACTAGGTATGCATTGATATTATATATATGTTGCTTGTGTTTCTTGTTTAAATGATGCTATTGTAGTCCATAGTTGGAATTTAGGTAAAGTTTTAGGACCATTGTTAAGTGTTGCAGCTTTTGCAGTTGGTTTTCACTTGAGGACAGGAAGGAAACTTTTGCAAAAGGAGTCAATGGATAAATCCACGTCCCACGATGGAGAAGAAAAGAACGGCTTTGCATCTGTATCCATGACCAAAAAAGTTGGAATGGCAGCAGGTGCAATGTCTTTGTTATGTTGTGTTTTCATGTGTCCCTGCTTTTATAAGAAAAGGAGAGAAGCTGCTCACAAAGTTCTTGCTAAGGACCCAAATTCAAGTGAGTCTCTCATATCTGCCTGTCTGTGTACCCGAAATCAATAATTATAGGTTTTCAGGTTGCTGGAGATGAGAACCACCAATTATATTCCAGTTTAACATTTAAATACATTCATCCTATATTAGACTAAAATTCTTTCAAACTTGTCCAAATTGTTTTATTTGCAATTCTGCAAATAATTGAATTTTTGTTGCCACTGACTAGTCTATTCTATATTGGTTGTTTCCTCATTATGACTTTGTTTTTTCAATGTTTTTTTTTGGTTAAACTAAAACTGGTTGTCCTCTTGCAGTGGATTCAGCCTCTTCTTCTTTTGAAGTGAATTCTGCTCCTGAAAAGATCCCGGCTAGTCCGCTTCGTGTGCCACCTAGTCCTAGATTTTCAATTTCTCCAAAACTCAGTAGACTTGGATCGGTACATCTCAGTTTGAGTCAGATTGCCAAAGCAACCCGCAACTTCTCTCAATCACAACAAGTAGGTGAAGGAGGTTTTGGAACTGTCTACAAAGCCCGGCTAGACGATGGCCAAGTGGTTTCTATAAAACGAGCTAAGAAGGTATAATAGATCATAATCTTTTTTTGTGGGTACTCAATGAAAGATTGGTCATTTCCGGTTAGTTTATGAAAGGAAATACTATCTTGGTGACATGCTAGGTAGTAAAAAACTTGTACCACTACTGAGGCTCTCGCAATTGGCTATAATTGATACAATTCAGTGGCCTCTTGATAATTGGTAGCTCATTCATTAATTTTTTTGGTTAAACTAAAACTGGTTGTCCTCTTGCAGTGGATTCAGCCTCTTCTTCTTTTGAAGTGAATTCTGCTCCTGAAAAGATCCCGGCTAGTCCGCTTCGTGTGCCACCTAGTCCTAGATTTTCAATTTCTCCAAAACTCAGTAGACTTGGATCGGTACATCTCAGTTTGAGTCAGATTGCCAAAGCAACCCGCAACTTCTCTCAATCACAACAAGTAGGTGAAGGAGGTTTTGGAACTGTCTACAAAGCCCGGCTAGACGATGGCCAAGTGGTTTCTATAAAACGAGCTAAGAAGGTATAATAGATCATAATCTTCTTTTTGTGGGTGCTCAATGAAAGATTGGTCATTTCCGGTTAGTTTATGAAAGGAAATACTATCTTGGTGACATGCTAGGTAGTAAAAAACTAGTACAACTACTGAGGCTCTCACAATTGGCTATAATTGATACAATTCAGTGGCCTCTTGGTAATTGGTAGCCCATTCATTAATTTTGTAAGTAAAATTTGTTGTTCTGTTATATTTGAAAATGAAAAAGTTTTTTATGTTAATTTTTGAGGAATCTGGGGCAATCAGAAAAATCACAATTAATAAGTATTCCATAATCAGATTCTTCAGTTGCCCAAATAGTGATTGGATTAATTGTGCATTCTGGGTTCAATTAGGAAAGTAGCATGCTAAAGTTAAATGTATGTGACATGGTTCAAAATTTCAACATCAAAGTAGGCTTCGTAGTAGAATTTATGCATAGCATAATTTGTTATGGACTTACTAGTTTTCCATGTTGCCATCGAACATTTGAGTGGCTTTATAAGGAAGTTTTCTGTTGTCATGGCAGTTATTCGATAAATGAATGCTATTTTGTTAACATGGAAACTTTGTCATAGGAACACTTCGAGAATTTGGAAACTGAATTCAGTAGTGAAGTTGAACTTCTGGCCAAAATTGATCATCGGAATCTTGTAAAGCTACTAGGTTATGTTGATGAAGGAAATGAGCGTCTTATCATTACAGAGTATGTGCCAAACGGTACTCTTAGAGAACATTTGGATGGTAAGCTTAGTTAAAGCACCAAAATATCCAAAATTTAATCTATAAAATTATGCTATCATAAACAATTATGCTACTATACTGCAGGTCAGCACGGCAAAATCCTAGAGTTCAATCAGCGACTTGAAATTGCCATTGATGTTGCTCATGCCTTAACCTATCTTCATCTATATGCAGGTAACAAAAATACTATTGCTAGAACTTTAAATACCCACTGCTCTTTTATTCATTTGTTTATTTGTCTGGTTAGAGATGAAGAATTGATTTTCTTTGGTCAATCTGATTGGTGCTTAATCTGGTATTCATATCACAACAGAAAAGCAAATCATTCATCGAGATGTGAAGTCGTCCAACATTCTTCTGACAGAAAGCATGAGAGCCAAAGTGGCTGATTTCGGATTTGCAAGGCTTGGTCCGGTGGACTCGGAACAAACACACATTTCAACCAAAGTGAAAGGAACTGTCGGTTACCTCGACCCCGAGTATATGAAAACCTATCAACTCACCCCTAAGAGTGATGTTTACTCATTTGGGATATTACTTATAGAAATCATAACTGGCCGTCGTCCAGTGGAGTTGAAAAGACCTGTTGAAGAGCGGGTGACACTCAGATGGGTAATGATCTTCTTCTGTTCCCTTGATAAGTAATTGATTTTGTAGCATATCTTTAGGAGTTAGAACATGGAACAACATGCATGCAGCAGAACTCTCCTAATACTTTCAGTTATGTCTGTTGCTAGATAACCCTTCCATCCAGATTAAATTTGAACTATAGCTGTTTATAACTTTATGTCTGGTGTAACATTCCGCAGGCCTTCAAGAAGCTGAATGAAGGAAGGATGGTGGAATTGGTTGATCCTGCATTGCAGGAAGTTGTAGATGCAGAGGTAGTGGTGAAAATTTTTGATTTGGCTATCCAGTGTGCTGCCCCCATTCGAGCTGATCGGCCAGACATGAAATCAGTGGGAGAGCAGTTGTGGACAATAAGAGCAGACTATCTTAGAAGTGTCAAGAAAGGCTAGTGGTATAATACGAGAGGCACCTCCTTCCCTCAAACTTGCCCTGTAAGAACGAATTTGGTCACAGACAAAAGTTTGCTTTTTCGTTTAGGCCTCTTTGTCGACATCTTTTTTCACTCTTGAACATGCATACATGTGGATGTCTAATATACTTTTTTTAAAACTAGTTATTGCAAAACAACGACATGCCTTGAGGAGCATAAAGGCAAACACATTTGCAGTTTTTGAATGTTGATATTACTCGGAAAAAGAGATTCAGAATTCAGCAACAATGGATTCAGGATTCGGACTGGAATTACGACACAAAGCCTAGTTACTTCTTTTCTCATTGTTTTTTTTGTCTTGAACAAGAGTGCCAAAACGGGGATAATAAATCAACTGAGTTTTACCAGCCTTCCTATTTGACCATGCAAACTTTCTTATAAATGTTTTCGTCTGATTTTCTGAGGTTCAGCGTGTTGGCTGGTTGTCACCCTTTCCCATTATTTTCCTGGCAAATTCGATGATCTAGCACCTCTCTCTATAGCAATAGAAGCAAGTTCCCAATCTAGTTCCACCTTTTTCATTTTCACCAGAGTGTTTTTGGCATGATTTTTAAGTATTGGAAGGGGTTATGTGTAGCTGTTATCTTTTATTATTATTAGAGTGTGGGTTCAACCATTTAGTTTGAAAAATCAACTTGGAAGTTAAAAATGTAAAAGACCAGCCCTTATAAACTCCATAGTAATTATAATGTGGCTCACTTGCACCCTTTTCTGACGCTTCTAAAGAAGACAACTTTTTCGGCCAAAATTCTCAACTGAATAATATGGTATTTTCATCGGAGAGCAAAAATGTCATGTTTCACAGTTCATCAAGAGAGAATTGCGTACCTCGTTAAGCCATGTTATATACTATATTTATATTCTGATACCTAAACTAGTTGTCCCTTAGTTCTTAAGCTCTGGACTCCATGAATAATTTGAAAGATAATGATACTGGACTCGTCATGATTTGGTACTGCAGAGCAGATACTGCGAGTCGCAGGTTGAATAAGACTATTTACTTTCAAGGGAAACTACAAAGCTAAATCCACTAAAAGAGTTTGGCCGGAGGAGCCAGCCGGAATCTTAATCTTTTCCACCTGCTCTTTACCAGCATAGGGTTCAAGCTCAGTATATGTTCTGGCATGAAGTCGTGCCTTGTCAATATACCCACAACAGGAGATCTCTGCAATTGACCAGCAAAGTTATTACAAGCGATCAGTAAGAAAACTGTGAGAAGTATTAAATAGAGCGTGTAAACAAATACAGAAGCAATTCTAGATATTGAGCACTAACTACATAACGGCATAACAGCATACACATACAATACAGAAAGCACTGCTGAACAAGTACTTTACTCTTATCAGCCAAAATTTGATATACGAGGTAGAGGCCCATTGAACAGAAATAACAGAAATAGCAAGACCAGTGAATCATATAACAGAGGCAGAGAAGTATTTGCCACCAGAAAGAATTAAATCTAGATGGATTGATGTACAATTAGCATAAGAAGTGGTGATTCATATATAGCACAACCAGTGATGTGAACTACACAAATTTTTGGGGATGCAAGTGCACTGCAATGCACAACTGATGCTTCAGAATACCATATTTTGTAGTTGTAATAAAAGCAAATGTAAAGGACAAAATCACTTACTGTGGAAATCTTCGGTATTACTAGAAGGTGCCTTAAACCAACTTCTCGGAAAAGTATGAGAGCCTTTGCTAGTGACATTGTCTCCACAACAGTATAAGGTGAAGCATTAGTAAATGGATGTAAGTCTATGAACATTTCCATCTCCTCCTCAGTCAATTTTATATCTTCTATCTTGTCACCGTTGCCTGAACCCCTCTTGGCAAAATCCTCTGATGAGAACCGCTTAAAGGAATCGGTGCTCGTCGGCACTGGGGTGGACACGAAAGCTTTCTTCTTCAACAATTCAATAAGATGGGCACGGAGGACAATACCAAACAAAACAGGGGATTCAGAAAGTGGAGGCTCATCAATTACAGGGAACCCGTTATGCCCTGTAGTTCTGAGAACGTGTACTATATTACCAACCTTCTCAATTCCATAAAATAGTTGTAGTGGCCCTGTTACTACATCAGCTACTGTCAGCTGCCTCATATATGGTTCAGCATGAGCCTCCAGATAGGGAAGACCCTTTGCTTTCATAATCAGATCATATATATTTCCATTGAACGCATCAGCAGTGGTCTTGGAAACAAGAAGAACCACCATTATCAACGGTAGCAATAATAGATTATTGGTTAATTCCAGAATAATTACACATAGAGAGACAGTCATCCTCATGGTTCCACCAAGAAGAGAAGCAGCACCCAACACAGCATAGAGACCATGATTGAGATTCGAGTGTGAACCCACTAACATTCCAACAAAACGCCCATAAGATGCACCAGTCACAATAACAGGTACAAAAAGACCAGCAGGAGCAACAACCCCGTAGCTAAAGATACTTAAGAAAAAACAGGTGACGAAAAATATGATAATTGATGAAAAATGAAACTCAGAATCAGTGTTCTTGCTGAAAAGGTTTCTAATAGCATCATCGTTCGTGTTAAATATGAGGCTGGCAAGGTCATTATAGTAACCAGGAGGGCATTGGAACTTCTTGAAGTTACCAGACCGTCCAATTGTAGGGCAGGCTTCTGCTGCATCAGCTGGGCAAGGTCGACAAGATGCAAGCCATGGTAATCCAAAGAGAAGACAAGATGTGAACATGGAGATTGTGCAAGCTATAAGTATTTTATAAATGACGCCTCTCCTGGCCAAGGAAAACATCAAGGTGATCAGAGTCAGAAAATTATGGTTTTTCACAACACTTTGAAAACACTAATACTGCTTAGACATCACTAAGCTAAAATGCTTACTCATTGATGAGATTGTATATTCGGAGAACTTTTGTTAATAGAGAATTATATAAGCTTCCCAATATGCCGCCTACGAACCCAAGGAGAAGCACGGGAGGCACATCCACAATGTGATATGACACACTCGCTGAATAGACATCAAACATTATCAGCCCCCCTGTACCAAATAGCCCACATTTGCCACTTAAACAAACATCAATCAGAGCCCGGAGCACAATTGCAATTACAGCTGTTGTAAAGAAAGCTCTCCACAGAAGGGCACTTCTCCACCTACAGAACAAAATCTTGGTTGGATTCAAACAAAGTGCTAATCTCATGAATTCAATTTTTATCATCTAGTAGTATAGTTTAGTTGGTTTGTTTTCTTGGGGTTTCCCCCCACTAGTGCATATGCTTAGGTCTTGAATTCCATCTGAGAGTGCTGGAAATTGAGACAAAATATATATGACATATAACTGTACAGGATGTTAAACGCGTGCATAGTTGAGTCTTATAAGAATCAGTTTTTATTAGTATTATGAACAAAAAGCAAAGGCAAAAAGAAACAAGTGTGGATAGAGAGATTGGCGTACCAAGATGCCATCTCTTCAAAAGCAAACAGCACACCACCAACAGGGGAACGGAAAGAGGCAGCAATCCCAGCAGCTGATCCACACGTTACGAGATCCCGACGGTCTCGATCATTCTTGAAATACCGTAACCATTTCCAGGTCAAACCGTACTTCTTTGATCCACCCTGACCCAACAATGATGCAACACAGGCACCGGTATGCACCATCGGCCCTGCCTTTCCAATAAGAAGAGATGATGACACCGCAGAAACACTACCGACAATCTGTACAACGAGGAAAATGAAAATGAAAAATCCAAATTTCTTTTGATAAGTATCTCAATGTATATGATGTCCAAAGCACAGAATTGTTAAACAAACAAAATTGAAAATGGAGCTATACCAACTATCAAGTTGCTAAATTTCACACAACCTAAGCAAACCCCATTCACAATTAAAAATGGCAAGAGCAGCTTTACTAAAGCAATTTATACACAATCCAAAAGCACTGAAATCAAAGTCAGTGAGTCACCTCACCTTAACAAATAAAGTTCTTAAGGAAAATATTCCCGGCGCGTCCACGCCGTTCAGGTATGCCTTCACCTCCGGTATGCCGGAGCCCGCAGCAACCGGCGCCACAAAAGACGTGATCATAGACGCAAACAGAGTGAGAGCCAAATTGGAGAAGAAGAAGACAATAAACGCCAGCAAAAAACTGTTTTTAATATAACAAAGACAAATTAAAAACGAAGAAAGAAAATGTTAAGTAGTTGTGGTGTTTGTTTGGGGTTCTTATCTCCCCAGCTCATAAAAAAAAACGAAGAAAGAAAAAGGAATTAACTTTAAAAATTGAAGTGAAATTTAGAGAACCTGCGCTTCAACATCATGTTGGAGGTGATGACGAACTTAATGCCGGCGATGTTTTCGACGGCGAGGTTGTTGCAAAAACCGATGAGGCCGACGATGAGACCAACGAGAAAGCATGAGAACCACTTCATGAATATGTACTGAAAGACTTGCATCTTCCCGCGGCTTCTCCAGTCCTGCTTGAAGAACTCGTTCTCCAAAATCTCGTAATCGAGGCTTTCGATGGGGCAGACATTGGCGCCGACCAGAGCAACCTGCGAAGTGGAGTTCGGGGTTGATCGTTGACCCGAGATTAATGGGGCGGTGATGGATTCCGGGTCCTCTGCATTGAGCCAGGCGTTGCTGTTGCCGTTAACTGACATGGTTTTGGGATTGCAGAGGTTCAGTGCCGGCTACGGACGGAGCATTAATTCCGAGTCATAACTTGGAACTAGGAACTCAGAGGGGTTTGGAAAATAAATTGGTGAAGTCGATGAGTGATTTGAGAGTAAAGTGTTTAGTTTTGTTGTGTTGTGTGTTTGTGAAATTGTGAGCTCTCCCTGTCAATTATCTCGCTATTGGGTACTGTTACGCTGCTGCCGATTCCATCCCAACATAATAAAATCTTGTCTAAAAAGTAAAAAATCTTACCATATAATGAATCAATAATTATCCAGATTTGCCAAAAACCAATTATCAAGATTTCTTATTAACCAAAAAAATCATTTATGTATTTTTAATCTTAATAAAGTCTTGTCAAAATAAGTATTTTCTTCTATTTTCTTACATTTATGCGTGAGAAATAAGAGTCGAGGTTGAGATAATTTTGTACAATGCGAAAAAAGAGGAATTGCAAATAAAAAAGACAATTGAGTAAAGTTGAAAATTGAGCAAAACAATGAAACCAAAAAGCTTCTCTTATACTAGTCCAGGCTGTGCACTGATTACTCTCATATTATGGTAGTTCATGTAAATGTTTCCCTGGTTATTTAGGTATCTACCAGCTTGTCATGTTGCCTGCATTCTGGCCTACCTCCTTCTCTATCTTGACCGTTACCTAAAAAGCAGGGCAAAATACCACACCTAGGATGACAGGCAGGTAGCAAAAATAAATGTCCCAATTTAAAAAAATATTTGTTTATTTCTTAATTCTCACTTTGGTGAGAACAAACAAGAAGCATCACTAACTAAAAACAGAGCAAGGAAACAAATATCAGGCAATTAGGAAAAATTGACCCAAAAAAAATGTAGGCGCGGCCGTAGGAGGTGGAAACTTCGTATGTGTGGGCCCCGGGCCCTTGACGGTGTGGAGTGGGGCCCTTTGAGTGCAGCCAATGATGGACATGATCCTTTGCGATGTCGTTTAGCCTCTTCATTTGTTCACCTACCATCTTCCTGTTCCTTTTTTTTTTCTATCTCTATTTCTTTGTTCTGTTTCTATTTCTATTTCTATTTCTATTTCTATTTCGAATACGGAAAGAAACAGAACATGTGGGGCCCCTATCAGATCGCATCGCACACCGCATGCATGAGGCGTTATTTTCAATGGATTAGAATACGGAAGTCAAATCCAAATCGTTCTTTGATACGTAAGTTGAATTGAATCAATCTATAATAATGTTTTGGTTACGTTTCTTTTTAAAATGTACCAATTGTTCGTTTAATTCCAATTCAAACTCAGAGTTTAATGTGATTATAAGAAGCCAGTTTGAATCCGAACAACTGTTGCGTAGATACAGCTGCACCAAAATGGATTCAGCTGCATCCTCAACTTGTGATACTCGCAAGTGCACGAGCCGTTCGG